TGGACTGGTCATCTTCTACAAGTCTTATTTTTCATCCATTTAGGGTACAATTAGCAAAACACAATAGTGAGCACAAACCACTAGTAGACTAGAGGTTAACTGGGGATAAACAAAAAGGGAGAGCCAAAATGCTCCTTGTCTAAAAGCTGTTTTCCTGTGGACACCCTATTTATCTGTTAATCACTTTAGTATGGTTTAGTGTCCTTCTGTATATATGTTTCTCTTCTTGGTTGATGAATAAAACACTGATTGACCAGGAGAGGCAGGAAGATAGGCAGGGCTAGGAGACCAGGAGAATTCTGAGAAAGGTAGGCAGAGAGAGACTTCAAGGAAACACCATGTAGCTGAGGAAGGAGTGACAGGTCTGGACCCTTCTCTGGTAAGATAAGACTACATGGGAACTTAGATTAGTAGTCATAGGTTAATAATTAAGAAAGAGCTAGCCAGTAAGAAGCCTTAGCCATCAGCCAACAATTTTATAACATATCATCCATATGTTTATTTGGGGCTGAGGTGGCTGCAGGACCTCTGGACAAGAAACTCCAGCAACAGTCTCTAGCTAATGAAATGCCTGTCTGGTATGAGGCTGGAGAGATAGTTCAGAAGTTAAGAGCCTTTGCCACTCTTCAACAAGACCCAAGTCCATTCCCAGCACTCATGTGAGGTAGCTCACAGCTACTTCCACAGGGTCTAATGCAATCTTCAACCACTGTGGGCACTACACTCACATGGCATACACTTGTGGAACATATACATGCCATACTTCAAACTAAAATCTTTATGAAAAACAGAGTGATTGAGGAAGACACCTGAACAGACCTCACACATAAATATATACACATACCATACTCTACACATACAAACACATTCCAGCTTGTAAGGCTCATTGCATTATGCCAGCTGAAGGCAAGGAGAAACACTTTTTTGGAGGGTGGCTCTCATTTCCTCTTCCATGATTCAGTTCCTGAACAATACAATCCATTCTGCTCATTTACCAGCTTGGGATGACTTCACACGTTTGTTCTCCAACATGCTGAATTTGTACAGTGTTCTGAAGGTATCCTTACAAGATTTTACTCTCTCTACAGATGAACCAAAGGCCCAGAAAACTGTGTGAGAGTGACAGAAAGAAAACTGAGAGTGACAGAATGAGTAGTAGGGTTTGGATACTCCCCCCCCCCCCAGTGCTTTGCTTCTCTACATTGGATGGAGCTTATACGATTAATATCAACATTGCCTGGAGTGTGGACCTATGTTTCAGTTCCCAGGATGGAGAGAAAATATATAACAACATGAACTAAAATGGTCTGAGAATTATGTTCTATCAGCTTTTTTCCAGCTTTGGCTCAGAGTATACCAAACCTTCAAACATTCTCCTATATTTCTTATGGTTTTAAGGTAATTCCCCCTTTCTCTCTTACTCAACTCCTTTGGTGAGACACTTTGTCTTCCTCATGTGATTTTCTGTGCTTTTATCTGCTACTCTCCTTCCTTCCACAATTATACAATGTAAAGATTTTCCACAAAGATTTCTAGAGTTCTTGGTGAATATATTCTGTGGCTTGACTGCAGCAACACTCTATGTATGTTCTTCAAACTACAATGAAAGTTGAAACTTAAAAAATATCAAAATACATTGTGCTCATGTATGACATATTCAAAGAATTAATAAATATGACAATCCAATCCAACAGAAAAATCTTTCCCTTCTAATAGTGAGATTCTTGGGGGAATCTAGGATCAGCTTAATATGTAACAGTTATTTCTTTTTGTTTATTCATTCTTTCTTCCTTTCTCCTCTCTCTCTCTCTCTCTCTCTCTCTCTCTCTCTCTCTCTCTCTGTGTGTGTGTGTGTGTGTGTGTGTGTGTGTGTGTGTGCAGGTGCCTACAGAGGCCAGAAGAGGACATCAGATCCCCTGGGACTGAGTTACATATAAGAGGTTTTGAGCTTCCAGGGAGGTCCACCTTTCAACCACTTAGCATGAGAGTTCCCAGCTTTACATGGGTTCTGGGGATCAAATCTCATGTCCTAATGCTTGGAAGCTACCTCCCAGCCCCTCCTGGTGGTCTTTGTTATTTCTAGTTATTCAGTAGCTCATATTTTATACCTGATGTGTCAAAGGAGGAAAATGGTCTGTGAACAGATACAGTCTCCAACTTACCAGAGTTTAAGATTTCTCCGTTTCACAGCTCACAATGAAGCAAAAACAATCTACATTCAGGAGAAACATTCAGTTTTTCTTGGAGTTTTTCCACCCTTATAGCATGACCCTCTCTTAACAGAGAAGGTACAATGGACAAACAATAAGGCACATAAGCACCTTTCTCTTCTCTGCTCCAGTGTGAAAAGCTAGGAGCCAGTTTGACCCAGAACATTCCCAAGCCCTGATGCTCCCTGAAGCTAAATCAATTCATTCCCATTCACATGCAGATACTGCAGCCCCTGCAAGTGATTCAGGAGGTATTTGTAGCACTTCAGGTAGTGCTGTGGACACACAGGCAGAAGTCAAAGAAATTAACACATTTCCAGGAGCTCCTGTGTGTTAGTACTCAGGCATCTGTACTGTCCTGTCTGTCCTTGGGGTTCTGACAGGATACACCCTTAGCTTCAGCCACTAAGAACACCACCTATGCACATTCACTATGTTCTCTTTTAAAGGGCCTTGCCTACCTCCCATCCACCTTTTTTTTCTCCCCCTCTCTCTGTTCTGCTCTCTCTTCCTCTCCCCCCTCTCTCTTCTACACTTTCCTCTCTTTTCCCCTCTTTCCTTTCTCCTCTCTCCTGCTGCTCCTGTCTCAGGAGACTGGTCTCCCCCCTCCCCTTTCCCCTTTTATGATCCCTTTCCCTAATTAAAAAAAAAAAAAAACTCTGCTTGAACCTTGTCGAATGGCATCTTTCTCTTGAGAACTGCTTTTCTTAAATTACAACACTGTGTTTAAGATGATTTGCTCAGACAAGTTAAGCAAATTCAGTATAGTGAGCTGAGGGTACCAACAGCAAGAATACAACACAACCTATAACTAGCACAGTACTGTAAAACCCTCAGAATGAGGAGTCTTCCAGGTTCGATACCCCAAGAACTCAATGTCCAGTCCAGTTGCTGCAAAACACAAGGAACATGAACAGGAAACATTTGCGCAAACGGGCTCCTCCAGCACACAGGCTAGGGAGAAGCCCCCTCCCCCGGGCCCAGGTGTTTTTAAAGGCAAACCCACAAGCTTAGGGAGGAGGTAGGACCCTCTGTCCATTGAGCATGTGACCCTTGGAGGCCAGATGGTCTGCTATTAGGGTCAGCAGACCTTAGGGCCTCAGGGTGTGCTAATTAATCTTGTCTGGGCAAACCAGAGTTGCAGCTATCTCTTTGTTTCCTAAGGACCCTATTTACCACCTGTTGACTCACAGGAAAGGAGGGGCAGTGTGAATTCTTGTCATCTCAGGGCCTGGTGAGAGGAAGCTAGCAAATTCCAAGGAACAGATATTGGTTTCCAGGTCAGTCCATCATTAACATTACTTTTTTTGGTCTTTCATTCCCCTCTTTTTCTCTTGTCAATAGTTCTAATCTTAGAACTATGGAAATTAAGAAGCAGCCTCCTCTTGGCTCCGGAGGCTCCTGTACTGCTATCTAAGCACCATAATCTGGGCAGCACTAGTAACAAAAGTAACAATTTTTCCAACAGTAAGCAACAAGAGAGAAATAAAAATGGGCAGTTGTAAGAGGCTGTCCCTGGGTCCTATAACCTAGAGTGGCGTGGGGGTGGGTCCAGAGGAGGAGGACCGAGTCTCAAGGTTTCTGTGTGGTGACATCTAATGTAATCTGTATCTCCAACTTGGAAGTGCTGTAAAACTTCCAAGTCTTCCACCGAGTAGGTCTCTCAGAGTTGCTTCCACACTTGCTGTCTCACCCACTCAAGCACCTTAAGCCTAGCAAACAGAGACTTAAGAGTACTGGATAGTGGACTTCCTTTTATATATACAATGCTAAAAACAAACAAACAAACAAAAAACTTAGAAGCCTAAGGATCATTTTATTATCTTTTGAAAGAAAAATAGGGCAGGCAAGCTAAAACTCTCAGTGCTTGGAAGAGAGGTAAAAGACAAGGAACATCCATATTTTGGGTCCCAGAGATCAATGGATAGAATCAGTCAAGCAAGCTTAAGACTCTGGATGGAATCCAAGGAACATACAGAAAGCATAACATGCCTTCAGGTTCAGGTTTCATTAATAAATAATTTGAACAGCTTAGAATGTTTTGTCTCATGATTCTATTCTTGTCCACAAAGATAGATTTCCCTTAATGAACCTCAAAATAAGCCTGCTTTCTCTACATACTTTCATGTGGAATTTTAAAGTTTGATTGGATGGGCAATTATACTTCCTTTTCTTAAAACTGGTGTTACCAGGAAAATGGGTAGTAGTGTGTGAAGCTGGCCAAGAGGATAAAAGATGACATATAGTTTAAGACAGTACCCTCCTAACAGCTGCATGGGACACTCATTTTCTTTTTTCATTTTTTTTTTTTTTTTTTTTAGGTTCTGGAAGCTGTCAGCAAACTGGCTTATACACACAACATTTATCCAAACCTGCATGATATTCCCTGTCTCTACTTTATTAAAAAGATTAGTGAATAGTCTTTATGATCTATTTATTGTAAAAGGGTGGCAAGCAATTTTGGGAAGCACTTTCGTTTACTAATCATTACTGCCTAGAGGAGCAGGGCCAAGACATGCCTCAGTCTAACAAGAACTTAGGCAGGCAAAAGGCATCTGTCTTCCACCTTGCTTTCAGGCCTTAACCTGGATGCTTTGGAAAACCTCCGTCATGCCTACATCCCTGCTGAATGGAATCCACATGGAAACTCTTGAGCCATTTGCTGCCAGTCCTGGTTCCTCTGGGCTTCCTGCGCGGGTTCCTCTCAGCAGCTGTTTGAGTCCATTCAAGAATGACCCCCAATGTTATGATGTCATAATTCACAGGACTTCAGCACCTCTGACTGGCCTCTGGCTTCCTGTCTTTTCCTGCTATACCTCCTTTTGGGGCCCCACTCTTTTCTTCTTGTGTGGCAGGCAGCAGAAGGTCTGTAATAAACCGGTCCCAATCCTCCTTGCCCACCTCTTCCAGCCCCTGCATGTTCCTCGGATCGAGTCTGTAGTTCCACTAGCCTGTGTCTCTGTGGGGTCATGGACAATAACATGAGTGGGTGTCCTCTTCTGGAGGCAGCGGGGAATAATTATAGGCACAGTGACACTTCTTCTGATCCTCTGCCCTACCTGCTGGCTGTCCTCTGCAGTGTCGGTTTTTGAGGATAATGACAGAAAGGCTCGAAGGGCTGATGCATCACTTGTCCTCTTTTGGCACCCAGGGAAAGCAGCAGGATCTATGGGAGTGGGAAAAGGTGTTATTCCTGGTCGCACTGACTTGGTTTGGATAGTGAAGCCACCCTGCTGGCGTGCCTGACATTGCAGTAGGCCATAGGTTGCCATAGGTTCGTTGAACAACCTATGGAGTAAAGATTCCCGGATGTCATGTGGATTGAACCCCATATCTGCCATGGCTGCCATGATTGCAGGGTCCAGGTGGCTAGGGCTCATCTTATCACAATGGCTTGATAAACCCACATCTCCTTTCCTAAGCCAAGGATGGTCCATAATGTCCTTTAGTGTCGGTCTCTGCATAGGATTTACCGTTAATAAGCAGCGAATAACATCCTGCAGATCTTGTGAGAGGTGGGAGGGAACATTATACCGTCCTAGCAACACTTTGCTTCCAAGTTCTTCGAAGGTGGTACCTTCAAATGGCAGGGTCCCGGTCACCATAAAATATAGTAGAACGCCCAAGTTCCATGTATCCACTTTGGTGCCATCATAGGGTTGGCGCAGGAAGAATTCTGGGGCACCAAATCGTAAGGCACCACAGAACCTGTACAGCTTAGTTCCGGGCCTGACTAAGGCACCCAGGCCAAAGTCTATAATTTTGACTTTGCCCCTAGCATCCACCATAATGTTGTCTGGTTTGAGGTCTCTGTGTACTATGCCTTGGTCGTGGCAGTAGCACATGGCATGTACTATCTGTTTGAATATCTTCTGGGCCATGCCCTCCTGTAGGTAGCCGACTTGTTGAATCCAGTCCCATAGCTCACGTCCATCAGCCAGTTCCAGGATCAGAAAGATGTTCTGTTCTGTTTCAATTACCTGGTGCAGTGAGATGATGTTGGGATGGTTCATTCGCTTCATTATCCTCACTTCAGACTTAATCGGGAAGGCTTGGTGCTTCTCCTTCAGAAGGACTTTTATTGCCACTGCAGCACCTGTGAGTCGGTGGTGGGCCAGCTTCACCTGGGCACAGCCTCCCTGGCCTATGGTCCTCAGGATGGTATACTGTGCCCTGAGATTCTCATATGAGAGGGTGGGCACAGGGCTGGGTCCTGCTGTCAACTCACCCCTTGGGCCACACATCATGGGTAGCAAGACTACCCAAATAAATAAAATTTTAAAATGAAATGAAAATTAAATTTCAAGTATTAAGCCAAAATAAACTAAAATTTCCCCTAACACACACACACACACACACACACACACACACACACACACACACACACACCAAGGAAATAAAAACCAAAAAGACAAAATAAAAAACAATACACCCACAAGCAAAACACACACACACACACATTCCAAGAAAATAAAAACAAAAAAAACCCAAAATAAAAGACAAAATGCCCAAAAGCAAAACAGACACACACACACACACACAAATTTACTATGTGTCAGTCAAATTCCACTAGACACTATACCAGCCAGAACACTTCTCAAAACACCTACAAAAAGCCAACCTAGTTCATCCTCCCTTATACCTGCTGGTTCAGACTCCCTCACAATGGCCCCTCCTCATGATATCATATCAGAACAGGGACCAATTACTGTGGACACAGTTCATAGTAAGGAAAAGTAGTCAAGACTGTCTTAGGTATGCTTAGGAGACTGACATTTGAGCTTTGAAAAACAAAGGCATCAACACCCTTTTGGTTTCTGGTTCGGAAGTGTGCAATACCTTCTGTTTTCAAGATCTCTTGCCCCTCCATTCCCCATTATACAGTTTCTTCCAAATCTGACTAGTTGGTTGCAGACCATTGTTACTACTTAACTGATATAATATTGCTTATAAAATGTACTATGGTGATATATTACCTAGGAGGATAATTATAAGATACCTTTTATATTTTAAAACATGGATAATATATCAAGAGAGTTTCACACTCTATGAACTAATAGCATCTTTTCAGCCACCAGTGTAGTTCCACAACACCATGGTAGCAGCTGCCTAGACCTTAGGCACCAATTGTGGTTGATTCGGGTAATCATGCCAACCCCTAACAGAGCAGGCATCAGACAGTCAGTGAGCATGGCATCTTAATCATCAATACCGATACTTCTCTTCAGCTGACATTTGTGCTGAGCAGGGTGTATCCTGCCCTTGGGATACAAGGTTCTGTCTCTAAGCTGTCCACCATACTGCTTCTATCTGTAAGTCATCACTGAATTTCACATTGTGAAACCCTAGATCTATCTGCCTTTTAAGTTGTATGACTGCTTCTGCCTTTGGTGACTGAATTTTATATAACAGAAATGCATAGTTATTTGGGTTTTGTCTTGTTTGTTACACTAAATCATCAGACAAAAAGCTCCCATTGAGAAAATTCACATTGTGTCGATTTTGCTGTTTTCAAGTTTTTCTCGAGTATATATTCTAGGCAGAGTGTATTCTTCTCCTAGCTCGTTCTTTTTACCACTCCTTTTCTCTCATCTTCCAGCCCCCTTTGTTCACCTAGAAAATTTCACTTCACTTCTGCTAACCTATCCATACATGATTTTATGATTTTATGTGACTATATAAAATTTAGGAACAGCATATAAGAAAAATGAGCTAGGCTTGTCTTTCTGAAACTGACTGGCTTTCTTGATCAATTATCTCTAGTCACATCGATTTTCCTGAAGATGACATAGCCCTGTTCTTATTTAGGACTGAAAATCTTCATTACGTGCGTAGAACATATTCCTTATTCACTCTTCCCTGGGCTCAACTATGAATAATGCTGCAAAAATATTGATGTACAAATGTCTCTGAGATTCATTGGTTTCGTAGTAGTTGGGGTAAATACCTGGAAGATAGCTGGGTCAAATGGAAGTGCTGTTGTTTTCTGAGTAACCTCCATATTGGTTCCAATAGAAACACAAATTTTTGTATTCCCTTTTGTTCACAGTCACACAAGCATTCTGTGTTATTTGTTTTCTTATAAATACCATTCTTACTGGGATGGGAATAATCTAAATGTGGTGTAATTTGAATTTTTATGGCTAGTGAGGTTATAAACGTTTTCATCTGTGTGCTTGCTGACTGAATCTCCTCTCTGGTAAACTGTTCACTGAATTGAATAAGCCCATTTGTCAACTAGTCTGTTCTCTTATTGCTTGGATAGGGAGCTGGTCAAGATTTTCCCTCATTCTGTACATTCTGTAGGAGGTTTCTTTACTCAATTAATTGTTTCTTTTGCTGTGTAGAAGCAAAACACTAATTGGCCAAGAGAGGAAGAAAGATAGGTGGGGCTAGGAGATGAGAATGCTGGTGGGGAGAGAGGTGGCAAATGGATACCACATAGCTGCCAAAGGAGTAACAGATCCAGGCATTCTCTGTTAAGCCAAGACCACATGAAAATATATAGATCAATAATTATGGGTTAACAATTAAGAGAGAAGTAGCCAATAAGAAGTCTAAGCCATTGACCAACAATTTTATAATTAATATAGCATCTGTATACGTATTTGGGTTGAAGCGGCTGTGAGACCAGACAAGAAAAGTACTTCAGTTACACATGTCCACTTTGCCTGAACTCAGCTACAGAGGTCAGAAGTGAATCAAGGACTAGGTAGGAAGGGGAAGCCAACAGTTGTGCTGCATGGGAGACTTCCACCCAACATGCTTATTTTTCTAGAAAAAGTAGGAATCAAAGAGGAGTAACTCTCAAAAGCCAGGGTTGGGAAGCAGAATGCAGCACACAGGTCCTGCCTCCACCTTGTCAATCCATGTGCCTCTTCTAAAGGTGCCTAATAACTTCAGCATTCAGACTGAGATATTTCCCCACTTCCTAAGGCATCTTTCCACATCTAACAGCCTTAAATTTTTTCTATGCACACACAAGTACATGCAAATACTAGAAGAACTCACCCACACAGTGTCACAAAACCTAATTGTTAAAGCTCTTATTAGAAAGTTGAATGGGACTCAAAACCCAACGATAGTTAGTTAGCTTCTGTGCCTCCTTGATTACACCATTGTGGAATCTTTTGGCTGTAAAAAAAAAAATAGCTAAACTATAGACAACACTACAGCTATGAACACAATGGAAGGGATACAGAGACAAGGATGTCAGTGTTTGATGAAGGTACAGGTACAGAGGGGCTCACAAAAGCAAGAACAACTGAGAAAGATTCACCGGCTCAACTCCTTTTTTCTTAATTACTGCCCTGACACTGAAGCCAAGGAATAGAAAAATCAAGCATCAATTTTTTTTTTACCTAACCCTACAGTGATACTCCCCAAGAGTTGACCATCACTCTCAGCATAAAGCACAGCATATTTTTTTTTACTTTTTCCTACATATATCCCTGCATGTATTTGTGTATTTGTACAATAATATTTGACCAGTCAATGAAACTTATAATATTTTAGTGTTTATTTTAAAGTTATAAAGTCCTTTGAGGAAATATTGATCCTATTCTTTACACACATTTGAATGTGCATAGTTAATAGAGATTGTTCAAATGTTGCTAAACTTTGAAAATACATATAAAAATATAGGTATTTTTTTTGTTTGTTTGTGAGATTTCTTTGAGACACTGGGATTTCTTGTATAGTCTAAGGTGGGTTCCAATTTACTCTGTAGCTGAGGTTAACTTGCTTTCCACTTCCTGTATCTAGTTCTCCAGTAGAATTAATTACAGGCATGTGCCACCAAATTCAGATTGCATATACTGCTTCATGCTTCCATTGTCTCTGTGGTATGTACTCACTTGACCCACACAATCACTCACTCAGGTATTAGCTTGCCCATTTCAGACTCAAAAGAACTGAAGCAGAGAACTATGGTGGGCTTGTCCTAATAATGTCACATTATGTCAAATTTCAAGGGCAAATCTCCTTTTCCCCTGGGTTTCCTATCTGCTACATTACACGCCAAACACAATCTGTGACAGGCACACACTTCTCTAGAGGGGGTAGGGGATATTGTTTTGAAAAATACATTGGTGAAAATTATGTATTTAGAGTGTTGTTTTGAAACTCAAAAAAAAAGTTTATTCAGAGAGGAAAAATCACAATGACATATGGCAAGGGTACAGAGAACTAACAAATGTATTTAAAAAAAACTCTATTGATATATCATGATTTTTCTCTGCAGTGCCCCCCTCAAAGATCATGTGCCTGAAGTTTCCTTTATGCATTAGTGTTAAGAAGTGGGGCTTTTAGAAAGCAATTAGATCTTGGGGACTCTGACCTCATCAATAGACAAAAATTTAGTAGATTTATAATTTGCGGAATTACTTGGAAGTGGCAGAAACTTTAAGAAGTGGGGTTTACTTGAAGGAAGCAGGACACTGGCTATATCCAGAAGGGTATGTCACCATCCCTTCTCTAGCTCTCAGCCTCCAGTATGCTCCACCTCACCATGGACCCAAAGTCAATGGAACCAAGTGAGGATAAATTGACACCTCTGAGAGTGTATGTCAAAACAAACCTTGCCTCCTTTGAGGTTTTTGTCAGGTATGTTGTCACTGTGATGGAAAAACTGACTCAACACAACCACCTTCCTTGAAATGAGCATAGAACTAATAAAGGTCTATAATATTTTATGTAAAATAACAATGATGTCTTGGCCAAGAGTGATGGTTGTACAGTGATGTTACAACCAACCCAGGGACAGAGGCCCAGGGTAAACATCCTTGTTAAACACAGAGCTGCTACTTGATGCCTAGAACTAACAGTACTTAAAAGACTAACAAGGTTACCCCAAGAATAAATCCTTGCATTGGCCTTTGTAGCTCTAGAAACAGTTCATAAACCAAAGCAAAATGGGGGAGACTCCAGGCCTAACAGAGATGCATGGCTGCCTGGTCAATGAAACGAAACCCCAAGAGAGCCTTCTGCTGGCTTTCTATTCTCTGAAATGTTGGTCTTAATTTATATAAACCATCAGTCATTGGAGAATGTCCACTCAGATTTTTTCCCAAAGCTTCTTGAACCCCCAAATGAATAAGAACATTGGCAAGCTTACTAATTATGTTCTCTGAGATAAAAATTGTTCTGTCCCTCATGGAAATCATAGATGACTCAAATAAAAATCAAGATGACAGGGTGCTTTTTGTAACTTTATATTTATTTCTTCAGAAAATGAGAAAAAAAA